TGTTTTTTATACACTAAAACTAAAGATCCTTTAACAACTGATGAAAGTTCTAGAGTAGTGTATCAAATACCTTGCTCAGACTGTGATAAAGTTTATATAGGAGAAACTTCTCGAACATTACACAGCAGAATTATTTCTCATAAAAGTGATGTAAAAACCAAGAAATCACAAGCTTGTGCATTAGCTGAACACTCCATCAATCTAAATCACACATTTAATTTTTCACAAGCTTCAATTCTAGAGAGGCAGAAACATGAACAGAAACGGTTATTTTTAGAAATGACACATATACAAAAAAATAAAAAATGTGTAAATAGAAGATCAGATATTGACAAATTAAGTAACATTTATTGTTACATATTAACATATCAATAAATACCGTCAAGATCTCATTTTCTATTGACATCCTAACATTAAAAATTCATATGTGCTTAAGCCAAACTGCTGACTGGATTAATTTATATTTTTTATAGACAATTAAATAAATTATAATAAAAACTATTGTTACTGGTTTTGCTTTCCACATAAAGTAACTGTATTTTCATTCATATATGTCCATTAATCAAACCATGACAATGACATATATAGTGACAATATAGTTATTTTTATTAAAAAATTTTTTTTAATATTTTTATAATGGTTTGTTTTGTAAAGTTTAATAATAGTAACAACTGTAATCTCACGACTAGTAAGTAAGACAATTAACAATTTTAACTAGTTAATTTATATTTATTTTTATAGATGTCTTGAAAAAGAATTAAATAAAATTCGAAAGCTTGACAGTAAGTCAAAGAGTTTTCTTTGTCTTGTGGGCCAAATAAACTGACTGCATCCTCAAAAATCATAATTTATATTTAAATCAACAGTCAAGAATACCACCATCTTATATATATATATATATATATATATATATATATATATATATATATATATATATATATATATATATTATGTATTAGTTGGCTATATCTCGAATCTATTCTACAATTATTAATAGCTTGTTCTATGGCCCACATCTCGATACTATCAAACGCCTTTTCATAGTCGACGAAGGCAAGAAATACGGGTAGTTGGTATTCATTTGCCTTCTCTATCAATGTTCTCATTGTCAACAGATGGTCTGATGTACTATATCCTTTCCGGAAGCCAGCCTGTTCGACCGGTTGGTAATTATCCATTTTGTAGGTTAACCGGTTATTAATAATTCTCATAAATAGTTTGTATACTTGACTGAGCAACGATATAGGTATACTTCTGTAGATCATATTTGTTTCCTTTTGTGCAAGAGTATTACTAGACTCTCGTTCCAGTCTTTAGGGATCTGGCTATTATGGAGACATCTATTGAATAGCTTTGTTAGTACAGGGATTGTTAATGTCTTGCTTGTTTTCAAGAGCTCGGCAATTCTACCGTCGTGTCCTGAAGCTTTATATTTGGTAGTACTTCTGATTCCACGTTGTCTATTTTTCTTTTGACGTTTTCTTTTGTTGTTTCATTAGGCTGGCCTTGCGAGCTGTACAAGGATGTGTAGAAGTCTTCGACAATATTTGTTATTTTATATTTGTCCTTTTCTACCTTATTGATGGCGTTTTTAATTTTAATGATTTTTTGAACTCCCAATGCGGGTCTTTAGACATTTTAAGCCTTTGTTGTTTTCAATGACTCGCTCTATTAAGTTTCTCGTTCCATTTTTGTATGTCGCGTTTTAGTTCTTTTCTAATTGTTTTGTTAAGTTCTCTATATTTTTGAGTATGGGGTTTGTTTTAAGCTAGTAGTCGTCTTCTTTCCGTCATTAGCTGTTTAGTTTCATTACATATTTTGTCTTCTTTAGTCCTTGTTTTCTTTGCGACCTGTAGTCCTGCTGCAAGAAGGTTTTTATTTAGGTTTTTTATTAATCTCGTCAATTTGATCTTGATTATGTGAAGGATCAGATTCGAACTTATCCGCCAAGACCTCTCGGAATTGCTCTTCATTTGTTCTTAGTTTAAAGACATCTATCCTCGTTGTTTGTTTTTAACCTTTTTCTCTCTTCTTTCATGTCAATATTTATTTTTGCTCTGACTATTCGATGGTCACTACCCGTTGTTACGTTGTTTATTGTTGTGACGTCTTCAAATATTCCTTTGTTGTTTGAGGAAAAATAGTCTATTTTCCCTCAAACAACACCCATGTCTACTTTCTGTTAGGTTTCTTTTTGTAGAAGGTGTTCATAACATACATGTTTTCTTGTTCCAGGAAGTCCATGAGTTTTTCTCCTCTTGTGTTTCTTGTGCCAAATCCAAAATTTCCCTTTTTGCTTTCAGAGTCTTCAATCTTACTTCCAATTTTGGTGTTAAAGTCTTTCATTATTATTATTTTGGATTCTTTGTTGTTGTCTATAGGTTTTTTAACGTCTTCGTAAAATGAATTTATTTCCTCATCGGTTACTTTTTCAGTTAGAGCATAAACTTGCTTGATCTTTATTTTAGTTTTTGGATTTAGTTTTAAAAAACAATTATAATCAGTAATTAACTATTATACAGACTATAGCTAAATCAAGTTTATAAAAAAACTAACCCATATCATTGTAACATACAGTCGCGGTAATAAGATAAATAAGTTTCGGTTATCACATAGCAGGTTTTCATTCACTGTTTCATACGCATTAGTAAAAACATGATGAGGAGCAGATGTCACATCAGACCATAACCCATTAATCCCTAATGTCACGCCTAAGGTTAAACGTATTAGAAAACCCCAAAGAACTCCAAAATTGGATGTTATAAAACTGAAAGAAGCTGATATAAAAAACAAATTCCAACAGAAAATATAAGCAAACTTTGATAGATTAGATGCTAACACCTACGAGATAAATAAACAGTAAAAAACAATAAAAAACTTTCTCCTCGTTCCATGCAAAGAGATAATAAAATAACTGATAAGAAAGAGAGACAACTTCACGACCGATAAAATAATCGGCAGGATCGACCAAAGACGACAAGCCAAGAGTAAAGACAGTCACAATTACAAAATCATTAACAACGAAATCAGAAAAATAATAAGAGCGACAAACAAACTTACTATGAGAAAAAATGTAAAGAGATAGAAGATATTCAGAACAAATACGACCTATTCAACCTACATAAAAACTTTAAAGAATCGCAGGGCTGCAAAAGAGAAACTACAACACAACTCTTTTAAATGTATGTATGTATGTACAGCGTTAACAGGACTTTTAGTCCCATTGCTGGATAGATAATTTCCATTGTTTTCTATTTTTAGCTGACAGCCTCCAATCTCTCTCTGATTCCCAGAAGATGTCAGAGACTTCCATCACTACATCTCTCCATTTCTTTCTTGGTCTTCCTCTCTTTTTTTTTGTCCTCAGATACTCCCCAAGCAATATTCTTAACTAGTCTATTACCTTGCATTCTTTCTAGATGACCGAGCCATTCTAGTCTACGTTTTTTCACCACTTTTGTTATTGAAGAGTTATCATACAAATGGTACACTTCTGCATTAGTTCGTCTTCTCCATTCTCCCTCCACTACTTTTTCACCAAATATTCTGCTAAGTACTTTCTTTCCCATGCTTCCAATGTGTTTTGTACGGTTTTGTTCTTAGTCCTTGTCTCGGCAGCGTATAGCATTGTGGATCTAATTATAGTTTTGTGTACTATTATTTTTGTATTACGAGATATATCTTTGGCCTTAATTACTTTGCTCGTGTCTCCAGCACATCTGCTGCTCTTGGTCAGTCTCAGATTAATTTCAGTTTCTTTCTATGTCTGATCAATAAGAGTACCTAAGTACATATATTGATCCACCTTGTCGAATTCTACAACTGATCCTTCCTCCACCTCCACTTTAAAAGATCCCCTGGTGTTTATTTCTTTTTTGCTCAAGATCTCTATGTACTTCGATTTATTAATATTAACTAAGTCCCATTTTAGAGCTTTCCCGAATCAGTCTTTTCGATATTTTTATAATCTAATAACGAGAGTAATATCCTGAGCTCTGATTAATATTTTATATTCGTCTACTTGGACGACATTCCTTTAAGTTAGCTTTGTTTTTCCTTATTAAAAAATATGTTTTTGTTTTATTCTTTGTCTTTTGAAAGTACCTGCTTTTAAAAAATATCTTTTCTGAGAAATAATTAAATATAAACGTTCGCTCAGAAAACACGTTTTTTATAAAGACCATATTATACCTGGTATTATAAATTAAAAAAGGGCCAAATATTATTTTACTCAACGATGACGATTTCCTTGAGAATTTCAGTTAAACCATTTTTAAGAAATATTTTCGTTTAACATTTAAAACCCATTCCTGTCGAGTTTAAGGGCTTTTAGCTTTTAGTCCATTTAAAAACAAAACAAATTTCTTTTTAAATCGTAAAAGAACATACTTAATTTGTTTTTAAGCATTTTAACCGTTTTAATATGGTCAACATGGTTTATTAATGTTTGATTTGAAACTTGTATCCATTAGTAGCCCAGGCTGTGGGGGAAAAAGGGCGATTTTAAATTTCTATTTAAAAACAATCTGTTTTCCAAAAAAAATATTTTAGAAACCTTTGGTCAAACTAGATTTTTAAAAAAAATTCATGAGGAATTAAATAATTGGTTTCATAAATTAAAACAAACATCATATCAGTGGTATAGTGCACAAATGTGGTAAGTACAATTTTTTAAGAAAACGAGCTAAGTATACATAGTACATTATTTTGAACCAAAGTTTATTGTGCACAAATGTGGTAAGTAAATAATGAACCGTGTAAGAAATACAAGTTGACATAATGTGTTAACTGCTAAATATAAGAAAAATTAAATGAGCCAAATGTTGTATGTGCCCTTACCACAAATGTCAAAATGTGGTAAGTACGCACTTACCACATTTTGACACACAAATTGGCAACTCAGCCTTACTGTCAGAGTGAACTTGCCACTAGTGTAAGTAAGTATTGCTCCGTTCGATTTAAATAAAGTTTAATATTATTTGAAGTCTACAATAAGTGAAATGAATAGTAGAGCACATCGTCTAGTACAACTTGCGTGTGAACAACAAAAAACAGGTAAGTGAAACATAAAAACTAAGACATGGATCTTTTTAACCTCTAAATTGGAAATTATGTTATTTTAGAATTAAAAATATACTTATAAATACTAACATTTTTATTTATCTAAACATTGCAAAACAGATTGTATTGTGTTTTTTTTTGTTTCTAGCAGAATTATTAGATTTGAAGCTAACTACTGAACCATCTAGTCATACGGAGATACAGATACCTAGTGGTAGTGAAGTAATTGCAACGAATGATCAATTGGATATTTCAGATAATAGTTCCTTAAGTTATCATCCTGAAACTAGTGAAGAGGACTCCCAGGAGTCTGATCATGAAGAAGGGCTTCAAAATAGTTTTGGTAAAATAAGAAATTATTCTATTGTTTATTTTACTTTACTGTTCACTGTTTACTTTATTTGTGCCCATATTTTAATTTTACAATTTATTTATTTATTTTAATTAGATAATAATGAAAATAACGAGAGCAATGATGCAATTTCAATACCTAGAATGAAAAAGCAAAGAAAAGCTCAGCCAGAAAACTGAAAACGCAAAAAAGCCAAACAAAATCGTATAAGTGGCCAGGAATATGTAAATAGATCAGGAAAAATTGTTCGTATGAAAGCTGTTAAGAACACCAATTGTAGTAAATGTTGGTAAGTTTTGAATTTCTATTTATTTCTTTTGGGTACTGATTGTGGATTTAGTACCCAGCCAAGAAAGATAGCAGAATGAACTAGCAAAACATTAACTAGTGCCCAATCATTACATAATTGTTATTATTATTTTAGATATAAATGCAACGCTAATTTTAATGACGATCAGATAAAAATTTTTTGTCAAGAATATTGGGGTTTGAGTGACAGTTATATGCAAAAACAGTATCTAGCATCTTTATTAACATTTAGTGACGTTGTTCGCCGTAGATTAAATGTTAAAATCCCAAAAAATATGTCCAAACAATATCATTTAAGGTCACGTGGAGGAAAATTAATTATAGTTTATTTTTATGAACGAGAGAGTAATTAGCATAATTTTAACTGGTACCTCCAACCACTCCATAGGCGTGCTTAAGATTAATTGAAAAATTACTTTGAATAATTGTAAAAAATAAATGAATTATTTTAGTGTTATAAAGTGTTATGTGTATGTAATCAAAAGTGACCTCTTTTATCACACACTATATTAGAACTGACTGGCCTACATTAAAAAGAGTTTTAAAAAATCCACATTTTTTTTAATTTTTAAAAATTACAAAAGAGAAAAAGAGTTTTTAGAACCGACTAAGGTATGATAAATAGATGAATAAAAATATTAATACAAAACTTACAGCTACTTGTTACAAATCCAAATCAGATTCAGAAGACGAACTTTCAGAACCAAGATTTATAATAACTGGCTCGATCATTTTATCAAAAATATTGTCCAGCTTCCACATTTTTTCCTCTTCTTTAATAGTGTGATTTACTGCCTTTTCCCAGGTTTCAGGTTTTACATTATTTACGGCCTCCAAAAACAACTGTTTAACATCATGAATTTTAAAAGTGGCATTTTTTCTTGAAACTTCACTCTTTATCTATGCCCATACCAGTTCAATCGGGTTTAATTCACAATGATATGGTGGCGATCTAAGTACTGTCATTCCACGATTTTTGGCAATTTCATCAATTTCGTATTTTTTAAATTTTTCTTTATAAAGGGCACACAACGAATAAAGTTCCTTTCTTATAGATCCGGGATGGTACGTAATATTTTTTGAACTCAGCCAATTCTGCAAGTCTTTTTTTAACCACTTGGTTGTGGGCAGTCCTTCTATAAGTCTGGAGTGATAACTTGCATTATCCATTACTATTACACAGTTCTTAGGAAGAAGATCTATCATTTGTTCGAACCATTCTTGAAAGACATCAGCGTTCATGTCTTCATGGTAGTCACCGGTACGAGTTGATTTAAAAGTTAATAAACCACCTTCAACAAAACCGTCTGAACTGCCAATGTGTACTATTATCAGCCTGCGTCCCTTTCCTGATGGTGGGTTTAAACCAGTAGATAAGTTATTTACAAAAGCGTGCCTTTGACTTGTAACAGTTTCATCCTGCCAAAATTTATTTGGTGTATGACCCTCATTGATCCATGTTTCATCAAGATAACATATTTTTCTTTTTTGGTTTCTCATTTCCTTTATGGTTCTTAGAAAATGTCTTCTCCATATGACAATATCGCTTCTTTCTAATAAAATAGACTTTCTGGGATTCTTTTTCCAGCGGAAGCCTATTTCTTTTAAAAGTTTCCATAACGTACTTTGACTCATTTCTGGGTAATCCTTATCATCTTGAACTGAGACAAGAACTTTATCCAATGTTGGAAATTCTTATCTAAAGAAGAATTCATGCACTTTCCGTCGAAGTCCTTCTTTAAAATGATATTCTATTTGAAATTTTGGTTTCCCTGGAGCATTACGTGGCATTTGAAAACTACCACATTTTTCTTCTTTAATAACTCTGTTAATCGTAGATTTCCCAACACCAAGTGTACTGCTAACTAACTCAACGGTCTCATCATCACATAAACGTTTGTCTGTAAATGATTTAAAACAATTAAATATTAATGTTTTTTCATTAACTGTTAAAGGACCAATTTTTCGGCGTTTACACGGCACTTCCAAATTTTCCATAACACTAGTATACACAATAAACTGCACCTTGCAACTGAAGTACCTACTTTTAGTGAACTGTTAAGAATTTTGAATACGCCAATTGGACCTTCCTACAAAATGGAAAAACCCACTATCACATTTTCTGTGGTATAAGTTTAGAAGGTAATTATCTAGTCAACTACTGTCGTAGATTCCTGGAATTAAAGAATTAAATTTTTGATTGTTGAAACGCTTACTTCGTGCAATGCACTCATTTCAGATAAAATAAAACGTTTTATTTTATCTAAAGAATTAAACTTTATTTTGCAAATAGGTAGGTACTTATTAAATTTTTATTGGTTATATATAACCAATAAAATAAACATCTTACATTTCTTGCAAATTCGTTAGTACCTGTTAACTTCCATCACTCCGACACTGGCAACCTTATTTAGGGATTAGTAACCCTCACAACTATTGTATTCTATTTTGCTCCAACCATTATACCTGGTGGTCATACTCAATTTAAAATTGTTTTCCTATATAGTTTTGTAAACTTGTTGACAAATATCTGTTTTTCATTGTGTCACCCGTATCAACAGTTTAGGGATTTGCAAACATAATTTATTGTTTTATTACTCTCTCATACATAAAAATACACTATAGAGTATGCATGAAGTTTCTTTGTAACACATTATCAATAAGTCTCCTCATGTTAGATACTCTGACTTTGTCAAATATGGGTAATTATTCTAGCACCCATTAAAAAATTGGTAAAAGACCAGTAAATGCTACATCAGAGAACAATAATGCACTTGTAAAATCTCACATAGACTCTTTTTCTAGGATGGAGTCTCATTACTGCAGGCGTGATAGTACAAAACTATATTTGGCATCTGATTTAAATATAAGTATAATATACCGTTTATACAAAGAGTGTACAGATGAACCTGTGTCATAATATTACGTATATAAAAATATTTTTCACTCATATGATCCAGTATTAAGCTTTTATCAACCAAAGAAGGATCAATGTACCAAATGTAATACATACAATGCATCTTTAGACAAAAGTGACTTGGAAAATAAGTGGCAAGCACACAAGAATAGAGAAAATGAAGCACTGCAGCTGAATCTTTCTGACAAAATAAGAGCAGAAGAGGATCAAGGAAAAACATTTAGATCTATTTCGTTGAATCTACAAAGCATTTTAACATTTCCATTTGCAGGTAACTCTGCAATATTTTATAAAAGAAAGTTAAATGCATTCAATTTTACGATTTTTGAACCCCATTCACGACATACTTCAAAAAAGGTAAAACGAGTCCTAAAGAAGGAATGCCTTATATGCAGGAGGCAAACTCAAAGAAAAGCAACTATTTATGTTTGCAACGCTTGCACTGGATCACCTGGTTTTTATGTCGAGTGTTTTTTTAAATATCATTTACCCTTAGTGATATAAGTGTTGTATTTTTTTTAATGCTATATTGCCAAAAATCACTATATATTTGACTTACACCCATGGCTGTAATCGTCATATCTAGACTTCGGCAAATATACAAATAAAAATGTAGAAAATATGCGCATAAATATGCACGTGTTTACCCGAAAATATGCAAATATTTTACAAAATATGCGTACAAATAAATAAAAAAATCGTAAAATAGTAACAATTTTATTTAAAAAAAAAAAAAGTGTACATAACTAAATATTTCCTACTATTCATTAAGATTTACATTTATTTTAAGTAACTACATCATTTTTAATTATGAATAAACTTATTTAGAATTATGGTAACAATAAATGACCAAGTGGTGTTCAAAATTTTCTAACAAAAACTTGTGGCTTCTGTCTGAGTACATATATTTATATATGGAAAAACTTCGTTCAACATCAACTGATGTAACGGGAGCATTTTTCAAACTAACCAAAACATTTGGTTCTAAATTAATTGTTTCCGAAATATTTCCAGCTAGAACACTGACTACTTCAGTAAGAATATGGTAACCTTTATTTTTTTCCATAGTAGCTTCAATTTCTTTAAAATATCTTTTAAAATATTACCTCTAACGTTCCGACAACATGACGCAAATTCTTTTATTAATTCTGTACTTTCGAACAATGACAGTTTTGGTGATCCTAACTGAGTAATTGTTTTTTTTGAACAAAACTAAAATTTGATTTTATAAATGAAAGTTCTTGTTAAAGCAAGTTACTCTGAAAAGTTTGTTTAGAATCCAAAAGATATTGGGAACTTTCATCTGTTAACGTATCAATTATGTTCTTTATTTTAACAAAATGATCTACATAAAAATTAGCTGCTTCTAACCATGTTCCCCATCGCGTTAAAATAGGTTGTGGTGGAAGAGGAATGTTAGGTAGCATTTCTTTATAAAGTTGAATTCTTATAGGAGATTTAAAAAATACTTTTTTGACAATGGATATCATGGTATTTACAAGAGGAAACTTTTTTCGTATTTCCTCTGCAACTCTGTTTAATCCATGCGCTACACAAGTAACATGTATTAAATCTGGGAAAAATATTTTTAAATTTTGTCCTGCTTTCACCATATAAGAAGCAGCATCCGATAAAATAAGCAGTAATTTATTAGAAGGAATAGTTGTCGGAAGAAAAAAAGTTGCTAATGTTTCTTGTATAAAACGCGAAATTGTTAAAGCATTTGTTTCCTCAAGTTGCTGGCATGAAATAAGATGAGATTTTGGTAAGGTATCTTCTTTAAGAACACCAATCAATAAATGAGCAATATACTTTCTTGAGGAATCAGTGGTTTCGTCTACAGATATGTAAAAATAATTATCTGCAATTTCTTTCTTAATATTAATTAACATCGACGAGTATAGCCCGTTCACATTATTTCTTCTTAGAGACCGATCACTTGGAATATTAAGTTTGCAATATTTTTTTAGAAACGAACTAAAATTTACATTTGCTAATTTTGAAAGCGGCATGTTTGCAGACACTAATGCGCGACACAAGTCTTCATTAAAAGTCTCTTGCTCATCTAATTTTTTTGAAGTAGATTGGAAACATTTAGCCATTGAAGTTTGATATTTTCCTCCTATTTTTCCTTTTTTTGCAATGTGTGAAGCAGTTCTCACATGTTGGTCTATCTGAAATTTCTTCTCACATGCTATCTATAAATAAAAATAAAATCCCTTATTTTAACCCAAATTTTAAAATATAAAAATATACAAGGTGTTTTTGGTTAATCAAATAACTGGTTTGGAAAAAAAACACTCGCTAAGTGTTTTAAATGCAGTATTAATCCACAAATTAGTTTTTGTTACTAACCATTAGTACATCATATAACTTATTTTAAAATTCAACAAAAGTTTTTTTTTTGTTAATTCAATTACAATAAAAATAATTGTGTTTTAGAATAGCTGACTTCAAAAAAAAAATTAAAGGTGAAAAATTTTTCTAAATACACACCATTGTATTGTACCATGGACAATTTTTTCTCACTAAAGGAAGCTATTTTTCATTTAAAAACAACCTACGAGTACTAAATTTCAAGTAAATACGTTTATTGGTTTTAAAGTTATTGTTGTTATTAACTAAAAGAATTTAATTTTTTTTAATTTTAACACCCTGTATCTCGAAAAGTAAATATGTTTGACCCCTCATTAACTATATCGTTTTGTTCAATTTTTCGAGAAGTATCTACAGTCAAACGTTGTAAGTGTCATTTGGAAACACCCTGTATGTATGAAATATTAGATATTTAATAGAAAATATTAGATACTTACAATTTTGCCACAGACTGAAGAGTAGATTTTTCCCATATCCATAGACAGCTCTTTAGAAGCTTTAATCCAAGTTGAATCACTGGTTGTTTTAGGCATTATAAAATCACAATCTTCCTTTTTGTTACACACAACGAGTGTTTACGCTTTGAATATCAAAACAAAAATGATTTACAAATCTGAGCATCAAATTAGAAATGTTTAGGTACCTAATTCAATAAACTGGGAGATTTTGGAAAATCCCTAAATTAGGAACAAAACTATTAGCCGTTTACCTGCTGTTAAGATACAATAAATTGTAGATAGATTTGGGGATTAGATCATAAAATGCAAATGAGCGAACCCTTAGCGATTATCCAATAACTGAATGCCTCAGTGACCGAGACTTTCTAAGAATGTTGAGGGCTACTTAAATTGATCTTCTTTGAAATTGTAAATGTTTTGTACCTGTAGAGATTACGTACTTAGATCATTTCTTGATTAAAATGACTACAAAATTTTATACAAGAATTGAAATAAATTGGTATGTTTAAAAATTTTCAAATAAAATTTTCATAAAATATGCACAATATGCAAAATATGCAATATGCATATTTGCCGAAGTCTAGTCATATCTAATGAAATTTTTATTCGTGTTTATGGGTGTATTTTTCTTAATGATCAAGTGTTATGTTTTTTCAATAAAATCACATTTGTAATACCGTTTTTCATTCATTGTAAACATTCAATATAAAAATTAGAAAAAAAAGGTGGGCTGCACAGCTGATGCACAAGTAATTAACTGGTGGCAATGAACGTGTTAATACTCTGATGTTCTTGTATAATATATAACGTATATTTTTTAATTCTTGCGCCTTGTTTAACTTTTTGGTTGAACCATGAAATTTTATATACATATTTTTCTATAGTTATTAAAGTAACTTGTACCCAAGAATTTACCAGCTGCGATTTTCAGGTTTATTAATAATGTAAGAGAAATAATTTCTACCCATTATAATTGTTAATTGTCACTGTTCCGAAGTTTGTTATCTTAAAATATCGAAGTCAACACTTCTTCTGGCTGAAAGCTACATACGCTCCATTTCATTACGTCTCCCAGATAATGAATAATTAAAACCCTTTTTGTCTACTTACTGAGAACTACAAAGCGTTAATTTATCATCTACTTTCATTAGTTAAACCGTAAACGTAACAACTAAGTTGAAAGTAAAGATTTCTGCTTGTTTTAGTTGTTTATATAATTAAGAAGTGACTTCAAAAGATCGCATCCCTAAATAGTTATTATAGTTGAGTCTTATTTGATCTCCGACGACAAAGCCAGACTAAAAACCAGACGAACAAGCGAAATGTTTCTGGGAATTTCAATTTTGGGACCAAAGAAAATATATAAAAAAATTTACCGCTCCTAGCTCGCGGCTCAGATTATAGTGCAAGAGAGTAAAACTTTGATTTAACATCAGATCACAGTAAAATAATCATAACTTTAAGTATACACATAATATGGAGAAAACACCACCCAAACTCACAACTAAAGAAACAAACTGGGATGTTTTCCAAAATTCTGTAAAGACTAAGTTTAAGACTATTTAAGAGTTTTACAAACAACAGGATGGGAAGCAACATTAAAGCACCAAAGAAGTGTGCCAGAAAACCATAATATTCCGCTTCATATAAGAGAACTTGTAGCAGAAATAAAATGAGCTCGACGCATATGGCAACAAAAGAAAAACCTACTAAATAAAATCTACCTTAACAGAATAAGTAATAGACTACATAGAGTATTACATTAAGAACAAAATGACTCTTTCCAGTTTTATGTTTTAAACCTCTCACATGAAGACCACTCTATATAGAAAGCTACAAAAAATTTAAACGACCGACATTAACCAATTTACCTTTAAGAAAAACAGATATGACGTGGGACCCACACAAACGCAGAAAAAACAACAGTATTCGCAGAGCATCTTGCAACTGTATTCGCAATACCAGATATTAATAACGATAAAGATAATGATATAAGAATGTACCCCGAAACTCTATATCAACGATTTCTTCTGTTGACAACATTTACTTTGACAGAGGTTCGACAACAAATAAAAATGCTAAATCGTCAGAAAGCTCCTGGCTATGATTTGATAACAGAAGAATTACTTTAGAAGTCACCAAGAAAAGCAGTGGTGTTATTAACAATAATATTTAATATTATACGTCTTCGATATATTCCAATACAATGAAAACTTGCTTAAGTTACTATAATTTCTAAACCTGGTAAGCTCGCAACGCCAGCAAATTCATATCTCCCAATATGGTCTCGAAAGTATAAGAAGGGCTACTATTACATAAAATCGAGCAGGTTGTTCCCATAAACGTAATTATACCACAACACCAAATCGGATGTAGACGTGAACACTCAACTATCAAATAATGCCACAGAATAGTAAATATAACTAAACAACTCTAGAAGAGAAAAAGTTTTGTGCTGGAGTGTTTCTAGATAAAAAAAAACAGACATTTGATAGAATATGGCATATAGGTGTCCTCTACAAACTGAAATTACACCTAACGACTATACTTTATACTAAAATAATATCTTACTGACCGTTACTTCCAAGTCAAAACTGAAGACAGCTACTTAAATTACCACATCATACAATCTGGCGTAGCACAGGGTAGTGTTTTTGGCCCATTTCTGTATCTAATGTTTACAGCAGATGTTTCAACCAGCAATGATACCATCATCGCTACATTTGCCGATGACACGGGAATCCCACCAATGGACACCAATGGTTGACTAGTTGAAACAAGGAAAAAAGCAATGTTAAAAATGTAAAAAATAAATCTTTTAGCAAAAAGCTGCTATCGCTTTGTTCTATTAAATTGGCCAAATATATGGCCTAGGAGGACAAATTCGTTAAACTTCCCGTGCTCGAATCGGTATCACTAAAGTGTTATGATCATTTCGGCCTATCCCAGCCATCGTCAGACACTTGGGCTGATACAAATTCAAACACAGAAAGTAGAACGAATGTCTCCCAAAGCTTCACCACTGCAGTGGTTTGCGAGCAGAGGCGCCACCTGCTTTGGCGGCCGTGAACGAAAACGATATAATCACATTGTTTTCTACCTCTGGGCTATGCGAAATGTGTAAAGAATAAATCTTTTAGCAAAAAGCTGCTATCGCTTTGTTGTATTAATTCGTTAAATATGTTAAAAATGTCTATAGTAGTAACCAATAGAAAGTAACTTAAATGTGACCTCGATTTGATAGATAGATAGATTAGAGGTTGTAGATAATCAAAAATAATAAAGGTTAAAGCCAACTCCAAATCTTACAAAATAAACTTCCAGGAAAGAGGATTCCAAGAAAACTAACCCAGATTAATATTTGTAAAAAACATTTAATAGACCTTCAGTTCATCCTCCAATAATAACTTTATAATAATTTTAAAATAATTTAAATTACGCGTAAATTCTAAAAACACAACTTAAAATACCATTTCTTCCTCAGACGTCCATATTATCTACATTTAGCCTTAGTAGAAATTCATAGAAGTGTAGATGTCTCTACAATAGCTGACATTAAAATGACATTCTCTACTAAAGCAGATACAATAAAAAGATCCTTATAAGTATCCAAAATAATGCAATTTATTTTATAAAAATTAAGGAGTTGAGGTATGTCAGACGATGTTCTTGAATACCCTTGATATAAGTCTAATTAAAATTAGAATGATAGTTGTAAAAAAAGAGAAACAAGAACTAATATGTGTCCCCCTGATAAGAGAGGAAGACATGGAAAGCAGGCCAAAATATGCAACTTGGAGAAAGAGAGAGTTATGGCTTATATATCAATGTTCCCAGTAGTGGAAAGCCACTATTCACGAGAGAGAACCAGTAAAAAGTATCTTTCGAGTAACCTTTCCATTTTAAAAATGTTTAGGCTTTTCCAAGACTACTGCATTGAGCAAGGAGTTATCTCAACAATAAAAGAGTCGGCCTATCGAAAAATTTTTGTTGAAAATTTTAATTTATCATTTAAACGCCCTTATAACGATATTTGCGAAAAGTGCGATAAATTTAAATTGCAGCTGCAACAGCCTAATCCTAATATAGAAATTACAGAGCAACGTAAGGCAGACCTTACCCTTGCTAAAACATCTTATCTAGAGAAAAAAAAGGAAATGTCTCTACATGAAGAGAAAGTGGCTTTTGCCAGTTTTGACTTAGAAAAGTGTCTACCTACTCCCTTTCTAAATAACAGTGTATCTTTTTATAAACGATCCTTATGGACATACAACCATACATTTTACACCATATCAAATAAAAAAGCTACACCAATTTGTTACATGTGGGATGAGTCCGTTGCGGAGCGTGGTGGCAAGGAAATAGCCTCTTGTCTTTGGGCCTACCTACAGAGCCTCCCAACTTGTACTGAAGTGGTAAACTTTTTCAGCGACACCTGCCCAGGACAAAATAGGAATATTTATATTGCGGTAATGTTCAGTTTTTTTATGATGAGATTGGCACAAAATAAAGATAATGATTTTGCACACAATTTTATGACAATAAACCAAAAATTTTTAGAACCTGGGCATGTCCACATAGAAGCCGACACCATCCATGCTCTAATTGAGAGAGGGAGACAAACATGAAAATTGAAGTGCTTCACGATTGGGAAAATTTTATCAGATCTATGAGCAAACACATAAATGTCGTGGAAATGACCATGAATGACTTTCTGGATTTTAAGAAGCTGTTAAAAATCACTTTTATCCACAAAAAAGAAAATATAGAAAACGAAAAAGTGCTATGGTTTAAATTAAAGTGCCTCCAATTCAATAAAGGCGAACCAGGGGTGATAAAATACAAATTAAGTTTCGACGAAAAGGAGGAATTTAAAATTTTTGACATCAACAGAAAAAGGCAGAGGTCTTCCTCTAATAATAGGGATTTGCTGCCCAGGTACGCAGAGCCGCGACCGCTGGATAAAAAAAATTGATGACATATGCAGTTTGTTAAAATACATCAACCCCGCCAGTCATCTTTTTTTTCAATCTCTGAAAACTGCTGGTGAGAGGGAAAATGGAGAATCAGAAGATGATTTTGCTTAAGTTGATAATATGTATGTACCTAGTGTAAATTATAATATATAATGTTGGTTTCAATAATAAGTAAAGTTTCAGTTATGTCTCTTCTATACCTAATATTATAGAACAGAGAAAACAATTTATTTTTTAATTTTTAATAAAAAAATTGTTATTTTTTAAATTTCTAATAATTGATTGTTTATATTTAATTACTGAGTCCAATACACAGCGGGTTTTGACGAAAAAACACACTGACATTAACAACCAAATGTCATCGGTTAAGGGGTTATTATTTATTTCATGTAGTAAATATTTCTATGCAATAACAACCAATGTCAATATTTTTTAACTAACCAATTAAAATAAATTAGGGTAAGACCCAGAAAAACAATCAGGTATGAATCACCTTAAAGTTGCCTAAATCACAAAGAGCCAAGTATAACTGAAGCGAAGTAAAAAAATATGAAAGTTTTAGGCAAATCTTTAAACCTGAATTACTAAAAACAAGAAATTTTGACATTGGTTGTTTTAGTGCTAAGGTACAGAATTTGCAACTTAAATTTTAAGTACGTTTTTTATAAGTATTTATATTAACTCTTTGTGAGCCAGTGGGCCCATAGTGGAACCACAATTTCAAGAATTTTTATCCCACTGTTCCGGTATGCGTCGGCCGGAACCACAGACCAATTCTATCCTCCTCCAATTCCACTATTGGCCATGCGGTACGATCAGGTTTTGGAGCATTTTAGTGTGTTCTAGTAGAAGTAGGTGATTGATGTGACACGATTTTCGCTATTTTGCGCGGCAACTACTAAAATGTCTACTGAACGTAAACAAATTGATAAGGGTTGATAAGAACAGGTAAATTAGGTTAATTAATGGTTGTTAAATAGATCGTATACAATTTATTGACATATTTGTGTATATTTTTATATTTTCAAGTCGTCTAAAAGATGTGGTTCCGTATGGACCCACAAGTATTGTTTATTATTTTTGTTGCCTTTTTTTATTTTACAACAGAAACGAAGGCTAAAGGCCTAAATACTTGGTGTACTGTGGCTATCTAAAGATTAAACTAATAGTTGGGGAGGGTAACTTATTGAAACAAAATTTGAAAAACTTTACAGTTCATGACCAATTTTTTCACTTTTATTACCGAAAGAAAACAATGGTTAATAAATCATTTAGAAACTATGAGAAATGATGGTGTAGGTATTTGCTTTGATTGAGGAAATACCATCTGACGGAGAGTCAGAAGCGTCAGATTTTGATTCTGATGTTGAGGATTTTGGAAATAGTGAATCAGATAACGGCATCCTGGGCACTTAACATTCATTGAAAGAAATAAATCAAATGGTTTACGAAGATGAACATGAAAAAGAAAATGGCGATAGTGCTTTCAGTGATTTGGATGGTTGTACGCCGTCATCTGTTTCTGGAAAAAGGAAATGAAAGATTACAAAACAAAAACAAACTTCAACGAAAAAATAATAAAATTGGTAATGCAAAGAAAAATGTTGAGAAAGATTGTCAAATGATGAGAAAATATTCAAACTTATTACAAGACACCTTCAGCTGGTGTTGAAGAAGTCTGTCCTGATATACCGGATTTACTTGAAGATCTGCTGGAGTTGTGCATGTTGTTATTATCAGGGCTGATACATATATTAGTGTTTTAAACAAATCTGTGTGCAATCCAAATGAACCAGGGAAATGCCAACTAATTTACTCTCACTAATCTGAAGAAATGAAGTGTTTCTTGGAGATAAACATTCTGATAGGAATAAAGCATTTACCAAGCTACAAGCATTATTGGTCTTTGAGGACAGATCTACGTGATGGTTTTATTGCATCTTATGTGTCTCGCAATCGATTCAGTTGGGTTCTGGGCCATATTCATTTAAATGATAACAGTCTTGAATCAAAGAAAGGTGAAGTTGGCTACGACAAACTATATAAAGTGCGACCAATGCTCGATAAGTTATCTGACAATTTTATTCGATATTACAAGCCAAGTTAATGCCAGTCAATAGATGAGTCAGTGATAAGATTCAAAGGTAGAAGAATTTTACGCCGGTATATTTCCAAGAAGCCTGTAAAACTGGGCTACAAAGATTGGATTATTCTGGTTTTCTTTTAGAATTTCAAATCTACAATAGTAAAGTTAAAAACTTACCTGATAAAGGCTCAGGTGCACGGGTTGTAAAAGATCTCACAAGCAGTCTTGCTGGTAACTGCCACAAAATATTTACGGACATATACTTTACTTCGTATGATCTTTTGGAACAACTTAGGTCCAAGTATATATATATATATATATATATATATATATATATATATATATATACATATATATATATATATATATATATATTATATATATATATATATTATATATATATATATATATATATATATATATATATATATATATATATATATATATATGGATGTGGAACAGTAAAATAAAAGCTAATACTAAATATTTGTCAGAATGTAATTTTCTATAGGATAAAACCATGGAAAGGGGGGACACTCAATGGAAGATAAGTGATGTTGGTATGCTTGTTGTGAAATGGATGGATGGATAGACGGTCTCATCAAGTAAACAAAGCAGTTTACTTGATGAGTAATTTTCCTGATTCTACAGATATTAAATTTACTTCAAGGAAACATGGGTACAAACAAAACTTTACTTGATAAAGTTTGGTCAAACATTGCAACAAACATATGGTTTATGTGGGTATTTTAGATATGCTCAAATCTTGTTACAACATTAACCGCAAGTCCAAGAAATGGTGGCATAGAGTATTCTGGCATTTTGTTGACTTAACGGTTGTTAATGCCTTCATTATTTTTCAAGAACGATTTGGTGGTGTATTAACACCTTCCTCAAAAGAATTTTGGTAAGCAGTTGCTGGACTTGGATACTCCTTCGTTCACTCAGAAAAAAAATCATCCGATTCTGAGGTAAATAAATTTAAAATCTGCGTTTCCATTGAAATACGCACCAACAAGTCGGAGCATATGCCACTACATGGAACCAAAGTAAGATGTGCACGATGCAGTACAAGAAACCAACCCCATATGTAAGGTGGGACTATGTTTATCTGAAAAAATTAATTGCTTTTTAGAATATCATAAAAAATCAAGATTCATTCAACTGTGATCCAAACTGACAACTCAGTTGAAATCTCCTGTTCATCCATGAACTTAGTAGTTGAATCTATCATGTTTAAACAGTCAAACGACAACTTATGTTTCCAGTCTTGGCTTAGTACATTAAGCCAATTTCGACCAAGCAGTGATGTAAATTTATGACTGCTATCCAAAATTACTAATGGTAAACTTACTATTTTGTCCTTGACTTGTACAAACACATCAGTCTTCCCCACAATCTTAACACCTTCTCCTGTTAACACTTTTAGCCTATACTTTACACTGTACAACTTTAATTCTGGTAGGTATTTTTCAGAGTCTGTGATGTGCATAACATTTCTAAAAGCTCCACTGTCTATGTTAAATTTAATCTTCTTACCTTCTGTGTTCAATGAGCTGTTTTTTCATCTTGGCTCTTGTTTATAGTTGACAAAAACCCCAGAACTAGCTCATTATCACCCGTAGATGTTTCCTTTAATTCATCCAGTTTGTTGACATTCTAACTTCTGCACTGACTTGTATAACCTTTTATTTTGCATTTAAAGCATTCCCACGCCTTTGCTGGACACTTTTCTGGATTATGTTTTCGGACTCCACATCGGTAATATGGCTTCACTTTTTGACTGTCTTTATTAAACACAGTGACACTATTTCTTTTGATACAACTTTTTTAGATTCTTAAAAGTAATTTTATTAAGACTTTTTGCTATCGTACTGACTGCACTTTCCATATTCATAGATTTTACTTGACCTTTAGCGAGTTCCATAGACAAGGCTTCATGTACTTCAAAAGCTACTACTTGTCTCTCCAAGCTTCTTGCAAAAATGCACCAAACTTACAGTGTACTGACAAACTTTTGAGCTTTCTCACATAAGCTTTAATGTTATCGCCTTGATCTTGAATTGCATTCTACAACTTGTACCTTTCTGCAATTTATAACATTGTTGGACTAAAATGTTTAACTTATTTTGTTTTTTACAAGGTGGAGGATGCCTCTCCATCGATCAATGTTAATAACATAGACACCTTCATTTGTTCTTCTACCACATTACATACAAACAGTTGTTCCATTCTCTCCATGTAACTTACTATATCTCCCACTTTTGGGTCAAAATGTTGTATATTACCAATTAGGTTATTTGCCATGATTTTAGATTTTATTCACTTAAGACTTGTGAAAAATCCCAATATGTTTGCTATTTTAGGTTAGGTGGACACAAGGTGACATCGGTACTTAATCCTTAAACTTTTGATTTCACACTTGAACTTGTGGACTGACTGACTTACTCGTGGATACGTTGACTCGTCGCCAAATAATATTATGTATTTTAATTAAAAGACCTTTTTAATTAAGAGAACTTTTCAGTTTTGTATTCAATACTTTATTTCGTCCGCAAAGGGTAAA